TATACTTTATTAAAGATTGTTTTATAAGTGAATTGAAATCAAAATGTCTTAAAAATGTCAAGTGTTGTCTAAAAATTTTAAAAAATTAGGAGTACGATTACGATAAGAATGAAGATGTGAAGTGAAGTGGAAAGAATTCAAGTGGTAAAATAAAATAAAGTAAAAACTAGAAAGAATATTAATTACTATGACCAAGGTAAGGAAAGGGGTTTGACTAGACGTTTTTGAACACATAATTTAGGTTTCTGTTCATGTATAGCTAAAGCTTCGGCTATGCATAAGTGAAGAAAACATCAATTGATTTCAATTCACTTATAAAACAATCTTTAATAATTTTGTAATTGTTTCTGCTGGCATAACTGAACCTCTTCTCTTATAATGTTTTTAAACAATTAGTTCCCTTTATGAATTTAGATAAAGCAATAAGAAGATGTAATTTGTCTGAATCGTGTAATCTATTTGCGCAACACATTTCGAACAATCTGATCTGTCACACACGGACTTGTCATAGGAGTACATATATATGAAATTAATAAAGAGGTAAGAGGTGAGAAAATAGACTTAGGTCAAGTTTAGAGGACATATTCAAGGTCAAAGTAACAATGAAGACCACTAAACCACATAACAGAGGTAATAGTACATCTGCTATGGTATCAAAAGAAAATTTACCAGGGAAGGTTTAATGTGATGATGAATTGTTTTTGAACGCATAAAGGTGGTTTAAACTTTCTAATTACCACCTTGGGCTTCCAAAACCTTTAGCAAACGCCCTCCCCCAAACACGTTTTATAGATAGGTTTAAAAGATCTCTTAACGTCAATTTTGTCCTGTCTCTATAATGTGTTTCGCAATAGAAGAGCTAGGTCTCCTGTTCTCACCGTCAATAGGTTCTGAAGATTCCATTTGTTTCTGGAACCATTTAGGAATATGCTCTGAGGCCCTTACTCGCAGAGATCTATGAGTCCTCCCTATGTATGTGTGTCCACACGTACATTCAAATTGGTAAATACAGTGGGATGTGACGTCATTTTTCGCATGTTCGAAGGGCTTAGATGGATGGATATATTGGCTTCACATTCTCAATTATTATCATATAAGCTGCATAAAAAGTTTTTTAAACTACAATATCGTTCAGTCTTTGTCTAGTTATCAAGCTGCTTTGATTGATTCCCCATATATGGTAGCTTGATGTACACGTCTTTCTTAGGGGCGAATTGGAGAGTGAGTGGGTCTTGGTGTTCTGACTACTTTATATCTCCTGATGATGAACTTGTCTGGATAATTGTTATCAACCAGAGTGAGTTTGTGTCAACTTTCTTTCTTTCTTCCTCATCATCACGTGTGTCTGTCTTTAGTGCATATTCGTTGGATTCTACTGAAGAGGCACATTACTAAGGCTCTTTTGTACTGAACAGGGCAGAAACTGTGGTAATTAAGATAATATCCTGTCCAGATAGGTTTTAATATGTTTTAATAAATACATCTATTCCGCCCATTCCTCCTCTTTATTTTGTTCATCCCACTTATTCTTTCTTCCCTACACTTCTCGGATAAGACTATTTCATTGGGTACTGAAGGCTGCAAATTGGATTGGTGGTGTGTCTTTGACTCAACTAACTGACATTCTTGTCCTTGTTGTTGTTAGGCATTTTAATTCTTGTAGGCAGCTGACTAACATTATCTTGTCTGATATCGAACATCCTCTTTCTCCTCAACCTGTATCTATCTCTTCATGTCAAACCAGAAGAAATTTCACAAAAATTTATACTCGTACAGTCAAGTGATCCACAACGGAAAACTCAGCGAGGTGTTTGGAGTAAATACAGGAGTCAGACAAGGGTGCTTATTATCACCAATGATATTTCTAATTGTGGTGGACTGGATTATGCGTCATCAGACAGTGGGAAACGAGAAGACAAGCATATCCTAGACCGACGTGAAGAACCTAGAAGACCTGGATTTCGCGGATGACTTATGTCTGATGTCACACAAAATCGAATAATTGCAAGCGATAAGAATATGAATCTAAAATCAAAGCAAACCAAGGTACACCAACAATTCCGAGGAAAAGGAAAGCCTTATTCTTACAAATGCAGTTAGTTCCTTGGGGACAACATCAGTAAGATACTAACACAGCTGTGCCCTTTTAAAAATGCAGCGGTAAAAAGAGCATTCAGTGTTGCTTCCGAATTACGCTGTGTCTTCAAAACCACCCACTCCTCTCTTGTGTTCTTCGTTCAGCAGTAAAAGACAAACTGCCTAATTTCGCCTCTTCCATGTGTGTGTGTATCTACCAATTGAACTGCTCCAGCTGTGGAGTGAGCCTGTTAATTACTTGCATAGGCCGTACACAATAAGGCGTGTTTCTCGTCGAATTTACGAACATCACCCACCTTGCACAGTGGTTTGTTGGTTGGTTAAGTAAAGGACAAAAAAATCCATCTATTCGCAGCGCTATTCTATCTCACCTACATAACACAAGACTGATTGATGTTAACCAGGCAGCTTTTAGGGTCATTTACCGCATACATGAATAACAAATCTCAATTTCGCCTCAAGAGTTCGACTACTAAATATTGCTGAGGCTGGCTGGCTGGCTGGTCGTTGGGATCCATATTAACAAGCCTAATTTGTGCATCCAAAAGAAGTTGGTTGGTTTAGACATTATCCTTACCCCCGCTGGCCATCTAGGTTTGAATGATCGATCGTGGATTTTTGTGGAATTTTCCTAATTTCAGTTGGTATTCTATTTGCTATTATATCTTTACTATTATTATTATTATTATCATTATAATTTAAGCATCTTTAATGAACTGTGGTAATTCCATTGTGATCTTACTTTACAAATCGATATTACTATTTAAAAAGCACACACTAATATTGTTATTGACTACTAATCTAGAATATTCTATGTATATAAACAGACATGCATATATAGATATAATTGTAGAGCGAGAAGAGGAGGAGGGATTTATCGAAAAGGATATTCTTTGCTGACTCAATTATATATTTGTGTTTTGTAGATAGATGTCTCCGAATGAATATTTTCGCTTTGTGCCCTTGAAATACAAACGCAATCTAATAAAGTGCTTGGTCCACAGAGCAAGAGAGATTTGCTCGGATGAATGTCTTGACGAGGAGCTTAACAATATTAAACGGTTGCTAAGTGAGAATGGTTATCCCGAAAAGTTTTTTGATAAGAATATGAATCTAAAACCAAAACAGCCCAAGTTACCAAGAGTTCCGAAAAAGGAAGGCCTTATTATTACAAACACAGTTCCTAGGAGACAACACAAGTGAGATACTAACACATCGCCTCAGAAATGCGGTAAAAAGAGCATTCCCTGCTGCTCAATTACTCTGTATCTTCAAAACCACTCCTCTTCTGCGTTCGGGAATAAAAGACAAACTGCCTAATTTCGCCTCTTCCATGTGTATATATCAATTTAACTGCTCCTGTGGAGCCAGTTACATAGGCCGTACAATGAGGCGTGTTTCTCGTCGAATTTCCGAACATCACCCTGCCTGCTTAAGCAAAGGTCAAACAAAATCCATCTATTCACAGCGCTATTCTGGCGCATCTTGTGGAGACAGAACACAAGATTGACGTTAATCATGCTTTCAGGGTCATTTGCCGCATACCAACAACAAATCTCAATTTCGCTTTAAGAGTTCGACTTCTAAATATTGCTGAGGCTGGCGGTTGGGATCCATATTAATAAGCCTAATTTATGCACCCAAAAGAAGTTAGTTCAGTCATTATCATTAATTACCTTGGCCATCCAGGTTTGAATAATCCAGAATTTTTGTGAAATTTCCCTAATTTTAGTTGATATTCTATTTGCTACTATATCTTTGTTAATATTATTATAATTTAAGCATCTTTAATGAACTGTAATTCCATTGTGATCATACTTTACAAATCGATATTATTTAAAAAAACGCTAATATTGTTATTAATTACTAATCTAGAATATTCTGTGTATATAAACATGCATATATATAATTGTAGAGCCTGGAAGAGGAATTTATCGAAAAGAATATTCTTTGCTCAATTATTTTGTGTTTTATAGATGTCTCCGAATGAATATTTTCGCTATGTATTGAAATAAATGATATTGCCCATTTTTTTACTGTAAAATTAAAACTTTCTTTCACTTATCTAGGGAGCATTGTGTCAAATACAGGAGGAACCGACGAGGATGTCAAGTCGAGAATCAAAAGGCGAGAAACACATTCATCAACCTGAAACCAATCTGGAAATCTTCGTCACTCAGCAACACTCAACAACAAACTTCGGATTTTCAATACAAACGTCAAGTCAGTCAGTTCTTCTATACGGATCAGAAACTTGGCGGGTCACAAAGAATATTTCCAACAGCCTGTTGTGCGTCGGTGGCACAGTGGTTAGGACTCTCGCCGACCATGCACATGGTCCGGGGTTCGATCCCCTGCCGGCGCACACCCGATATCTATGGTCGGCCTGAATTTGGGCTACCGATATCCATGCTGAAAATTCCACACTTGTACTGAAAATACGGTGTGGAAATCAAGCTGTAAATCAAAAATAAAAAATAAAAATCAAAAAATAAAATAAAAAAACAGCTGTCTTCGCTCTATACTGAAGATCAGATGGCCGGAAAGAACAAGAACTAACAAGAAACTATGAGAACAAACAAACAAAACAACAACCAATCGACCAACAAATATTCAGAAGAAAGTGGAGATGGATTGGACACTCGCTGAGGAGGCCGCTGGGTGACATCGCGCATCAGGCCATCGCTCGAGTGGAACCCAAAAGGGAAGCGCCGAGTAGTGGGTCGTGTCTCCAAGGGTGATATGGAGATCGTGTGAAGAGGAGTTGAAACAGTATGGACTAACATGGATGCAGGTGAAAAGTACATTGGCAGAAGACAGAAGCAAGTGGAGACGTGTAGTTGAAGCCCTATGTTCCACTAGGAACCCAAGGGAACAATATTAATAATAAAATTAAAACTTACCAAACTGTATGCGTTTGAGTTTGTACACCTTTCACTGCATCCAGGATAATAACAACACTGTCTAGAACAGTTAAACTACGTTCCACTTCAAAAGTGAAATCCACATGACCCGGCGTATCCAACAGATGGATTGTATGATTTCTCCATGCTAAAGAAGCCGCTGCAGTTACAATGCTAATCCCGCGTTCACGCTCTTCTGGTAGGTAATCAGTCACAGTGTCTCCATCATCGACTTCACCTAAATAGTGTGTACGTCCTGAAGGAATTCAATGAAGAAGAAGAAGAAAAAGCAAGCAGTGAGAAGCGTTTAACCCCCTGTCAGATAGACAATAGAGAAGTAAAAAGTAATAGAACAGTGTTTAAAAAAAAAACCGCCATCCAGCACATACCCGAATGGGATATAGACACTGACCAACCGTCTGTAAGTGAGGTCACCCCTGGCGCCGTCGCGACGTTAGCCGCCTGGCTGTCAAAGGCTGTCGGGTATACAATGCTTCGGTGCAGGCTGTCTTGCTCTGCGCCAGGCCTGTGAAACCCGGCCTCTCCGAGTGGGCTGAGGATGTGCGGCGACTCTGCGTGTTCGATCATCGCTTTCTCCGCAGGATTGCTTGCGTTCGATGGCATCATCGCGTGAGTAATTCTGAGGTTCGACGGCGTGTGTTTGAACACTGTGCAGATCACCATTCATTGAGTGCCGTCATCTGGAAACACCAGCTCCGGTGGCTTGGACATGTGCTGCGAATGTCATCCCAGAGGCTTCCGTACAGGTCTCTGTTCGCTGTCCAACCCTGGGACGGGATGGAAAAGGCGGAGGGGTGGTCAGTCCATGACGTGGCGTCGTGGGATGAAGGATGTGCTAGATTGTGTGTTTGTGCTAGATTAGCATCGGTTGGTGTGTCATGACTCCCTGGTTGGGGTCCGCGAGATAGCTCAAATCGATGGCTCGAAACATTATCGGATATAGCTAAGAATCATAATCAACGGCGAACATGTTGCAATTTCCTTCTTTCTTCCCTTCCTGATGATAGTTAACGAATACTGTTTGAACTTGTTAAACATGACTGTTTTCCTTCCAGATGAAGTTCTTTATCCGTTTTCCACCTATATTTTTAGTTTTAATCTATGTTGTTTTATTATTATTATTATGTGGCGCATCCTTCTTGGTGCCATATTGCAGCAAGTTTTTCTGCGTTTAAATAAATAAATAATAATAAATAAGAGGTCACAAAAGCTATCTGTAATTTGAAACGAGGCAAAGCGGCAGGACCCGACGGAATTATTCCGGAGGTGTTTAAATATGGGGGTGACATATTGGTATATACATTAACTAAGGTACTAGGTAACGTCTGGGAATCAGAGACGGTTCCATCAGACTGGGGTAAGTCACTTATTATACCAATATTCAAGAAGGGAGACACAAGTCCTCATGTGATAATCATAGAGGAATCAACCTGACGAACATAGTCTCTAAAATCCTAGGCTCAGTAATCATGCACAGACTAAGCCGAACTCGGGAGGAACAAACGAGAGGAAATCAAGCAGGCTTTAGGCCAGGTGGAGGATGCATAGATCATATCTTCACTCACCGACAGATCCTAGAACATAGACACACTTTTATCATTAATATTGTTATTGCTTCCTTTAATTCCTAGAGGAACATAGGGCTTCAGCCATGCGTCTCCATTCCGTAAGGTTCTCTGCTAGAATCTTCACCTGGCTCCAACCAAGTCTGACCACACGTTTTCATCTCCTCTTCACATGACCTCCTCCAAGTCACCCTTGCACTGACGACCAACTCGCCGCTTCCCTTTCGGGTTCCATTCGAGCAATGGCCAATCCACCTCGATTTCTTCCTGCCTATTTGTTTCACAATCGGTTCCTGCTGTGTTGGTTCGCCCATTAACAGAGATCTCTGTTACTCATCTTTTCTGGCCATCTGATCTTGAGTATTGAGCGAAGACAATTGTTAATGAAGGTCTGTAGTTTGTTTGAGATGCTCTTTATGATGCGCTGGCCAAGTCTTTGATCCGTATAGTGAGTAGCACTGACTGACTTCACATTGGAGTTGAAAATCCCGATTTCATTTTTTGACGGTGAGTGCTGTTGACCTCCACACAGACTTGAGAGTAGTGAAAGCTTGTCTTGCTTTCCCGATCCTAACTGCTTTGATATCCTCGTCAGTTCCGTTGGCCTGTAGTTGAAACGATGCTTCCCAGGTAGGTAGGTAGGTAAAGGAGGTTGTTTCTTTCAGGTTCCTCCCGTTTATGCTCGCTGATCGTTGTCTGTTGTTGCTGTTCTTGTCCAGGAATCTTCATCGCCTCTGTTTTATCTATGTTAACCTGAAAGAAGTCCTATCTTCTCTGGATGCTTCTTCTGACAACTTGTTGCTTTTCGCTTGCATATCTTCCAGTTTGTGAGAAATCAGACATATATCATCGGCGAATTCCGGATCCTCCAAGTCTCTTTTTGTGTCAGTCCATTTTATGCCTGTTTCCTCGTTGCCCATCACTGTTTGTCGCATTATCCAGTCTACTGCAATCAGGAAAATAATTGGGGAAGAAAAAAACAAACAGTGAAGATATGCAGCGAGGAAGTGATTGAAGAAGAACTGCGTAATCTCCGAAGAACCCTGATGGAAAATAGTTTCCCACCCAGGTTCATACACAAGAATCTCAAATCTAAGAAGACTTCCGAACAAATCCAATCCATTCCAAAGAAAATACTTCTGCTTAATCTAGAATTCAAAGGTGATATTGAAGCAGAATTCTTGCGTAAACGCCTCTCCAAATCTCTGAGGAAATCATACTTCGCCGCGAGCCTACGACTGACGTTTTCTTGCAAGAAACTGTTCATCAGTCAGAACGTGAAAGACAAGCTGTCGCATTGGACCACTTCAACGTGCATATATCAGTTTACTTGCTCTTGCTACTGCGGAGCTGAGTACATCGGCCGTACCATGCGCCAACTTACTTGAAAAATGCGCTCGTGAACACTATCCAGCCTGGCTAGTAAAAGGAGACCAAAAACGTGTATACAGTTCAGTGACAGAACATCTGGTCAACTCAGGACATTCAGCGCCTTTCGAAAAATCCTTCAAAGTAATATACAAGATTCAATCAAAGCTATCAAAGGGAGTGAAATCAAGACATTTGGGTATAGCTGAGGCGTTAGCTATCCAAAATCTCAAACCCCCGCTTTGTATCCAAAAGAAATACGTCCAACCCCTGTCCCTGCCATGGCCATCATAAACAGGTAAATTTTTTAATAATGACCATCCCATCGCCTTTCTTATCTAAACTTTCTGTTTATTCATGTTATTTTAAGTTTTCTTAATCCCTGTCTACACTACCATATTTTCATATCCACTCTTTCTGTTTATTTTGGTCATTTTACTATTTATACATATTTAATCCCTGATTGCATAAACAATTATTCATCACATTAGTTTTTTATCCAAACATCCCGTCTATCTATTTTGTTATTTCTACATTTCTAACCCCTAATTGCACAATGTCAATCTTCTTAGTTATTATAATGCTACTTTGTTTGAGTTTTACCCATCCCCCTGTTTATTATGGCATTCTAATTCCTAATTGTGATTTATATCAATTTGACCCTTATTAGGAAATTATTCTGGAACTTTCCCATCCATTTGATATAAATACAAGAATGTACAGCTGCCTAGATACCGGTGACTTCGTCGAAAAGAAAAGCTTTTCTTCGCTGCAATTGTCTTTTTAAAATAAAATACATTTCGACAGCGTTGACCGCGAAGTAATTTGCAAACTACTCGAGTACTACGGCGTACCCCAAATATTCATCAACCTTATTCAACAGCTGTACGACAACAGCACATGTCAAGTGATCCACAATGGAAAACTCAGCGAGGCGTTTGGAGTAAACACAGGAGTCAGACAAGGGTGCTTATTATCACCAATGATATTCCTAATTGTGGTGGACTGGACTGGATTATGCGTCAGACAGTGGGAAACGAGAAGACAGGGATATCCTGGACTGACGTGAAGAACCTAGAAGACCCGGATTTATGTTTGATGTCACACAAAATCGAAGACTTACAGGCGAAAACCGACAAACTGGTCGAAGAGGCTGGCAGCAAAGACAGGACTGCAGGTGAACATAGACAAGACGGAGGTTATGAAAATAACCAACCAACAACAACAACAGCAGCGACATCCAGCGCCAATCACCATCAACGGGAGGGATTTGAAAGAGGTTACTTCATTCACTTATCTAGCTACGGAGCATTGTCTCAACTACAGGAGGAACGGAGGAGGATGTCAAATCGAGAATCGGGAAGGCGAGAAACACATTCATCAACCTGAAACCAATCTGGAAATCTTCGTCACTCAGCAACACTCAACAACAAAATTCGAATTTTCAATACAAACGTCAAGTCAGTTCTTCCATAACGGATCAGAAACTTGGCGGGTCACCAAGAATATTTCCAAAAGCCTGTTGCAGACCTTTATCAACAACAACTGTCTTCGTTCTATACTGAAGATTAGATGGCCGGAAAGAATCACAAACAAGAAGCTATGGGAACAAACAAAACAGGAACCAATCGCTCAACTAATATGCAGGAGAAAGTGGAGATGGATTGGACACTCGCTGAGGAGGCCACTCGCTGGGTGACATCACGCGTCAGACCCTCGCTCGAGTGGAACCCGAAAGGGAAGCGGCGAGTAGTGGGACGTCCAAGGGTGACATGGAGGAGATCGTGTGATGAGGAACTGAAACAGTATGGATTAACATGGATGCAAGTGAAAAGTACAGCACAAGACAGAAACAAGTGGAGGCGTGCAGTTGAAGCCCTATGTTCCACTAGGAACCCAAGGGAATAATAATAAAAGAACAACTTACGGGCATAGTATAACATGCGTTCTGTAGTCGTTGTTTTTCCAGCATCAATATGCGCGATTAAACCAACATTTCGAATTGCTTCAATACACGAATCAACATTGTGGAGTTTCGATGGTTGAATATTGCCGACGCGTTGTTGATGTATATACGCCAGACAAGTAGGCTTACCAATCTGGCTGGCTAGTAAATTTGACCAATTTGTAGACGGTAGTAGACGTAACAAATACTTCTTAAATAACATTTTGAATAGTTGTTGAATATCAGGTGACTACTAATGGCAGTCTCTCTCTCCGCATTTCTTGCACAACTGATAAATAAATAAATAAATTGAAAGCGCATAACAATAACAATAAGAGATTGGTATTAGTCAGTAACAACCAATTATTATTATATCAATTTTAACTAAACTTCAATTTAAAGTAAGCAGTTCCTAAGACATTTAACATTCCTCTCTCTATAGTTGTGTTAACCATTAATTCAATAGTAAATACACCTACATATCAGAGCGAGAGAGAGATTTATAGAGTCAGTGAAATGCTTCTTACTACGAAGCATAAAAGTCATGACACACCAAGAACCAGGGGAAAATTTCCCCAAATATGATCCTGTCCATACCAAGGAAAATACTAAGCCGCATCATCCTACAGAGAGAATCAAACACACCGACCTGGATGAAAAACTTCGACCGGGACAGGCTGGCTGGATTCAGGAGAAACAAGTCATGTATTGATCAAATCGCCACATTAAGGATCATCACTGAACAAAGATTGGAATGGCAGTCACCTCTCTACCTCGCTTAACTTCATCGACTTTGAAAAGGCCTTCGATAGTGGAGCGTCGATCGAGAGGTGATTTGGCAACTACTTCGCTACTGCCAACGGGTGCCATCGACAATCATACATATCATCCAACAGTTGTACGACAATGCTGCATTCCGAGTAATCCACAATGGGAAACTCACCGAATCCTTCGAAGTAAAGACTGGTTTAAGACAAGGCTGGCTGCCTACTATCGCCAATGATTTTCCTGATTGCAGTAGACTGGATAATGCGACAAACAGTGGGCCGGGCAATGAGGAAACAGGCATAAAACGGACTCACACAAAAAGAGAACTTGGAGGATCTGGACTTCACCTATGTGATATATATGTCTGATTTCCCACAAACTGGAAGATATGCAAGCGAAAAGCAACAAGTTGTCAGAAGAAGCATCCAGAGAAGATAGGACTTCCTTCAGGTGAACATAGATAAAACAGAGGCGATGAAGATTCCTGGACAAGAACAGCAACAACAGACAACGATCAGCGAGCATAAACGGGAGGAACCTGAAAGAAACAACCTCCTTTACCTACCTACCTACCTGGGAAGCATCGTTTCAACTATAGGCCAACGGAACTGACGAGGATATCAAAGCAGTTAGGATCGGGAAAGCAAGACAAGCTTTCATTACTCTCAAGTCTGTGTGGAGGTCAACAACACTCAGCATGAAAATGAAAATAACATCCGGATATTCAACTCCAATGTGAAGTCAGTCAGTGCTACTTACTATACGAATCAGAGACTTGGCCAGCGTGTCATAAAGAGCATCTCACACAAACTACAGACTTTCATCAACAGCTAGTTGTCTTCGCTCAATACTCAAGATCAGATGGCCAGAAAAGATCAGCAACAGGGATCTCTGGCAATGAGCGAACCAACACAACAGGAACCGATTGTGAAACAAATAGGCAGGAAGAAATGGAGATGGATTGGCCATATTCTGAGAAAACAAACGAGCTAGTGACATCACTAGACAAGCCATTGGTCGAGTGGTCGTCAGTGCGAGGGTGAGGGTGACTCGGAGGAGGTCATGTGAAGAGGAGATGAAAACGTGTGGTCAGACTTGGAGCCAGGTGAAGACTCTAGCAGAGAACCGAACGCAATGGAGACTCACGGCTGAAGCTTTTCTCGCCAAAAACATTGGCTAGTGCCAGTCACGCTATGTCATGCGTGAATTGACAGAAGTTAGGATTCATGGGACATTGGATGGGGTTCCAGTGGCTTAATGATCGACGAGCTAGCTAGCTCGCTGGTCTTTTAACCAGAACCTTGTCCTGGGTTCGAATACCGGTGCGTGTGTATTGATGAGGAGTCCCAAACTGGGATGAAACAGCTCTCCAATACTCCCCGTGGCAGGTTTTCCAATGGTTCTCTAACTAATGTCAATACTGATTGACTGACTGTTTCAAAATGCCATCATCCATGAGAGAAATTAACAAGTATGTTCTGCACAATAGAAGAGAAACAGTTTCCTCTGCCTTTCTTGAATTCACCTATTATTTTCTACTGACGCCAAAAGCTTAAGTTACCAATTTAACTCTTAATCAGTTAATCTGAATTACTAACCATTTGACTGCAGATTTCACTGTGATAACTAAAATCGATATTTTAATTCGAATATATGTGTGAAGTTGAACAATTGGTGTGTTTACCTGCAACGTAAAGAGGAAAGAAGATGGGAAGTTAAACACACTAGTGTGCGTGTTTACAGGAAACCCACACATTCAAACAGATATTTGGACTTCCGACCATCGCATCCTATGTCAGTGAAAATAGGATTGGTGAAATGTTTAAGTGACAACAGAGCACAAAAACTAAGTAGTACCATGGAAAATCTAAGACAGGAAGTGAGACACATGTAAGAAGAAGAGAAGCCTTGAAACTTATTAAGTACACGGATAAATTAGTCAGGAAATATGTCGGGAAATGTAAAAATAAAATAAATAATGATAGAAGCGATAGTGATAATAACAATAATAATAATAATAATAATAATAATAATAATAATAATAATAATAATAATAATAATGACGACACTAATAATAGGGAATCTAAATCATCAGTAGTAATTCCATACATAGAAGGAACCTCGGAAACTATCTTACGCAGAATTCTTAACAAGGCAGGAATAAAAGTCATTGGCATTCAAACCCACAAACTCAATTAGAAACAAGCTTTGTCGGTTAAAGGATCAATCCTGTGGAGCCTTTAAAACAAAACAATTTAGTTTATGTTAATCCCCTGTTTGCAATGATTGTCAGGTCAAATACATAGGTCAAACTAGTAGGACAGGGGCAGTCAGACTAGCTGAACATAAAAACTTAGCGAAATCTAGATTGGTTGATGCGAATAGGATAAGAAATCTAGAGAATAGTTCAGCTATCGCAAGCACTACATGCAGTCACACACAAACATACAATAGGATGGGATAGGATGACAGTTTTAAAATCTAATGTCACAGGGTATAGGGAGAGATTGATAACAGAAGCTTTGTTTATCAAATCAACTACAAATTCATGTAATAGGAATGATTCATCATCTGTCCAGCCAGATATCTGGAAAATTCTACTCCCCCAATGACGACGACAAATAGGAGAGGACAAAGGAAACTATAAAACTCAAGTTTCGAAGTCGTATGATTACAATTGATGAAATGATTATGAACAATAAACTTTGTTCGAAACCTTGTCATCCAGTAAATAATAATACTGTTTCACTGTGTGATATATCTAATAAACAAACTCATATGGAATTACTTACTACCACAGTGCCCAAGTTTTACAGATACACCTGAGTAAAGAAGCTTTAATGGAAATTGTAGACAACGTTGTCCAAATCGTTACGAGGATAAATTTTTTTTTAAACCGTATCATTGTCATCGAAAATTCCTACCTTAGGCAAAATTCCAATTCCCATATTTCTACTCTTATTAATGTTTCGTAGTTTGGTTTGTAAGGGTTAGTTTTGTTTTGTTTTACGAGTTGATCACGGATTGATATCAGTTAGAGAAGCATTGAAAATTAGGGAGTACTGGAGTACGCACTCACCACCAGGATTCGAACCCAGGATCCTCCGGTAACAAGGAGGACAGCTAGCTGGCTCGTATACCATTCAACCACTCACCGGGACCCACCCGATTCAATGGCCAGCCAGCCAGTGCATGAATTCTAACTTCTACCAATTCGTGATGCATTTAGTGCGACTGGCACCAACCAATGTCGTCTCGGGGGGACATCACATCCTCACACGTGACAGACATATGGATGGACCACCACCTCACTGGACCTCACGACTTCTCACTAGAACTGACTAACTGCAGGAAACTCCATCCTGTAGCAGCAGCAGCAAGTCACTAGCGAGCATCAGATTAATTTTTTCTATAGTTTTGTTTTGTAAGAGTTAGTTTTGTTTATTAATGTGCGTAAATTGTATTCATTCACCAGAGTACAGTATCGATCAGAGTACAGATTGATAAAATGATTTGAATTTTTGACGGATACTCTTATCACTTTGTAAAAAGACAATCAATAATCACCTAATAAAAAGAAAATAAAGTGATTGCAGCAAGCAAATCTGATCTTCAACTGGCTGACTGACAGACCAAGCGAAATGGCTGGGGGAGGGTGTGCTGGGTGGGGATTAGTTCACATTCAGAAGATGAGTAGTGTAGTGTTCGTGCTAACCAAATACATCTTGTAAAATGCATCTCACTGTATCATGCATGATAAATGAGAGAATCTCAACTACACAACTAACTGTGCGATGTTCAAAATTGTATAATTGAATGAGGTGGAATGCAGTTATCAGCATATAGAGTACTGCGACTACTACTACCTAATACTAACACGAACACCGAAAACAAATACGGCAATGTTGTATATGTAAAACGCAGGATAAACTGAGAAATACGACATCATACAACCATATGTATTATTGATATAAGTATAAAACTTGGGCACTGTGGTGGTAGAGTATAACTACTCCATTATGGATAAGATTTTATTTTGATAAACTGTCACACAGTGTAGTGTTATACAGTAATATTAACTGATGTGACCACACGCTTCGAGCACAATTTATTATTGCCACTCATAATCATCATATCAAGTCATTCAATCACTCACTGACACAACTTTCGTCTTCCGTCATTTATATACATGAGTGGAATTCATGATGATTAGACATTTGAATACAAATCAGTAATATGGGATAATGTACATTCAGAAATAATAATAATATGAGTGTTATTGATCAATTAAAATCAGATGGGAAATAAGACGAGTGTTTCGTTTTATAGTCATAATAAGTGAGTAACTTGTTAGAATATTGTGATGATGTACGTGAATTGAATTGAAATAGAATACAATTTAAGATTATTTATTATCCTCCTCTTATTTCACTGACTAACTGACTGGTAGTAATAATATCTTCCATACATATCTCTGGTATTTGCATTGAGTCATTTCTGTTGCATGTATTGGGTGTAGGTAGACTCGATGAACCAGCCAGGATTCAGTAATCAACCTCTCTTCATCTACCTATATAACTTTTTAGAATTTTAAACCTATCCCACCCTATTGTGTGGTTGTTTGTTAATCCGTGAAGTGCAATAGGGTGGGATAGGGTTGAGATTCTAAGAAGTAATCTATGTAGGTGGGGAGAGAGAGGTTGATTACTGAATCCTGGCTGGTTCATCGAGTCTAACTACACCAAACACAACACATGCAACAGAAATGACTCAATGCAAATACCACAGACATGTATGGAAGATATTATTACCACCAGTCAGTCAGTGAGTGAAATCAGAGGAGGATAATAAATGATCTCAAATTGTATTCTATTTCAATTCAATTCACGTACATCATCACAATATTCTAACAAGTTACTCACTTATTATGACTATAAACAGAAAGCACTCGTCTTATTTCCCATCTGATTGTACTTGATCAATAACATTCATATTATTATGATTATTATTTCTGAATGTACATTATCCTATATTACTGATTTGTATTCAAATGTCTAATCATCAATTCCACTCATGTATATAAATCAAGGAAGACGAAAGTTGTGTAAGTGAGTGAGAGACTGAGTGACTTGATATGATGATTATGAGTGGCAATAATAAATTGTGCTCGAAGCGTGTGGTCGCATCAGTTAATATTACTTACTGTATAACACTACACACGCTGTGAGTGACAGTTTATCAAAATAAAATCTTATCCATAATGGAATCATACAACCAGGTTTCATGTCTCCACCTATTTCCGCCTATTGCCCCTATCTATAGGCGAATTGACCAACGGTGGCATTTACCGATCGACTACGATTCTACTACTGCTAATACATCTAATTGTTCAGAAGAATAAAAGGGGTGCATACACTTTCTTTCCTTTCTTATTTTACTGAGATCGTGGAGTTCTGCAACCTTCTGCAACACAGATGGAATTCAATGTGTAAAATATGTGCATCTCAGCTTACAACAATAAAGTATATGGTGCAACCACAACATATAATTGAAATGTGATGCAAAAAATATATGACAAACTAGAACATGTTCATGTTCACAGGAAAACCAGTGGAAAAGAAAGAAAACCTTATTTCTAACTGTTTAAAATAAAAAATGAAAACTAACTGTGTGAAAGTCACACATCCACCGATGAAAAGTTGCTTCGCGCCTGCTTAGGACTCCTCAGCAGTGCACAGCAATCATCCCGACTAGGGATTGAACCCAGGATCTTCAGAGATTTCAAACTTAGGCCATGCGGATAGATACTCACCGATCACATTGATCGACGGTCGTGCTATGCCACAAATTCGTAGAAGTTAGAATCGATGCACCCCGGTGGCTGAATATTCCATGGGCTTACTTCGTAACCTGAAGGAGGTCCTGGGTGCATACTGGTGGTGGAGAGTATGGAATTAGGCCGTAACAGTTGTCCAATATAAGTCCCTCGTATCGGAGCTTTAACAGTACAAAACGCTCGCCAACCGCACACACGGTCTGGGGTTCGATGATCCCCAGCTGACAAATTCCTTAGCCAGCCTTACCTAGCGCTGGTAGCATTCTCGGTAAAGAGAGAGAAGGCTGACTTCAAAGGCTCAAAGCCCTATGTTCCACTCGGGACGAAAAGGAATTAAAAAATAGTGAATAACAAAAAAGGATTGATGGGCAACGCTGTCATCCTGTAACCTGACGTTCATTGAGGTTCGACTCCTGACACGGGTGAGGAGTGAGCACTACTGCTGAAGAGTCCGTCCCACAGCACAACCTGCTTCACAGTGGTTTTCCTCCAGCTGAAGACAGTTCACATGATTCAACTTGACACATCAATCAAATCCCCTTGCAAACCAACACATTTCAAACACGCATGTGAATTCGATCGATGCTACTCTTAAGTGTTACACAAAAGTGATTAAAACAACAACCAAAACAGACTGTAGTGAGAGTTACCATGAGAACTTCAAAATAAGCAACATTAGTCCATGTATAGTAAGCCTGTGAAACCTGGACTCTCCGAGTAGGCTGAGGATGTGCGGCGACTCTGCGTTTTCGATCATCGCTGTCTCTGCAGGATTGCTTGCGTTCGATGGCATCATCGCGTGAGTAATTCTGAGGTTCTGCGGTGGCGTGTGTTTGAACACAGTGGAGATCACCATTCATTGAGTGTCGTCATCTGGAAACACTGGCTCCGGTGGCCTGGACGTGTGCTGCGAATGTCATCCCAGAGGCTTCCGTACAGGTCTCTGTTCGCTGACCAGCCCTGGGACGGGATGGAAAAGGCGGAGGGGTGGTCAGACCATGACGTGGCGTCGTGGGATGAAGGATATTTGTGCTAGATTAGCATCGGTTGGTGTGTCACGACTCCCTGGTTGGGGTCCGTGAGATAGTTCGAATCGATGGCTCGAAACATTATCGGATATGGCCAAGAATCGTAATCAATGGTGAACGTGCACAAATTATTGCTCGAAACGTCATCAGTTAATATTACTGTGTAACACTGTGTGATTTATCAAAATAAAATCTTATACATAATGGAGTGGAATCAAGCTATAATAAAAAAATCTTCTCTGGGTCAACCATTCTAACCTTAGCTAAATTCTTATGTTCCAACAATCTGATTACACCCAAACTACTAGTTTGACCTATGTAGGTGGTTGACCTAACTCACAGTCATTGCAAGGTATTTTGTAAATTATACTATTTTGTTTAATTGGGTCCGCCGGGTCTTTTAGTCTACAGAGCTTGTCTCTGAGTGAGTTTGTAGGTTTGAATGCCACCGCCAGCCTGATTCCTGCTTTATTAAGAATCCTACTTAGGGTCTCAGATGTCCCCTCCTTATATCGTACAACAGTAGATACCCTGTATTCTCTCTTATTTATGTTAGTTATCATTATTAGTTTCGCCATTATTTTTATTTTGCTTTTGACCTTTTTTGATATTCCTAATGAATTTTATAGGATAGTTAGTTATTCGACACCAACGCATCTTCTTCCATCTGTTTTATTTCATCATTAAGGTCTTTTCTTGTGCTACTGCTCTGTTTGTTAGACACTTAACTAAGCCTACCTTACCAGTTAACGGATGAGATGAATTAAAGTCTAAATATCTATTAGCAGAATGCGTTGGTTTTCTATAAACGCCGCTAGTGTGTAGTTTGCCTTCTTCTATTCGTTTTATTTTACAATCTAACATCACAGCTAATTCTCCTTTTTCATTTTCCGATTCAAATGTGAATTTTATTCCCTCCACTAGTGAGTTTATGTGTGTCAAGATCCTAGAGAGAGAGAGAGATGTTCTGTTTTTAACACTGTGAAAGTGCCATCCACATATCTCCACCATATTTTTGGAGTAGGATTAGGTGAACGTATTAAGAGCCATATTTTCCCAGCTATCCATAAAAATGTCTGCTATGGTGATCCCATTGCTACACCTTCGGTTTGTCCATATATATTGTGAAACTAGTAGTGATAACGTAAATAAGAGAGAATATAAGTCATCTATAGTTATACCATATAAAGAGGGGACATCTGAGACCCTACGTAGGATTCTGAATAAAGCAGGAATTAGGATGGTGGTGACATTTAAACCTACAAACTCACTCAAACAGGACAAGCTCTGTAGGTAGGTTAAAGGACCCTGTCGGTTGACCCAATTTGACAAAATAATATCATTTACAAAATACCCTGCAATGACTGTGAGGAGTTAGGTCAACTACATAGGTGAAACTAGTAGGTCAGGGGTAGTTGGATTTTCGGAACATAAGAATTTAGCTAAGGTAAGAATGATTGACCCAGAGAAGATAAGTAATTTATAAAAAAGCTCAGCACTACATTGCACTGCATGCATTAACACACAACCACACAATAGCATGGTAGGAGAGGGTTAAAATTCTAAAAAACAATCTAGGTGGGTGGAGATAGAAAGAGGTTGATTACTGAATCCTTGTTCATCGAGTCTACACCCAACAAAACACATGCAATAGGAATGATTCATCACTCATACCTGAAATATGGAAAATAATACTACTAATCAAATCAAGTGAAAATCAATGGAACTATATAAATGAATTTAGGAAGTCGTGTGATTACCTTGATATGATTATGAGCAGCAATAAACTGTGCTCGAAACTTGGTCATCAGTAAACATTACTGTACAACAAACACTGTGAGACTTTATCAAAACAAAATTTACCCATAATGGAATTACACTCTACCACAGTGCACAAGTTTTGTTCTTATATCAAAAAGGACTGTAGTGAAAATTACCATGAGAACTTCAAAATAAGCAAAATTAATCCACTTAAATAAGCCAATACTACCTAAGAAATTACCATTTTTATCAAGTGTATTCAATAGCCTATAAGATAAGCTGTTCTCAACTAATTTTGAAGCTTAAAATACATTTTAACTGATTAAAAATGCCCATTAAAATTGTTTTCAAAAGAATGGACACGGAACAAAGAGTACTCTTTTCGATAACCCCTTCATCATCAGGTTCTACAATTATATATACATTATAATGAATGAATGAAGGAATAAGTCTTATGAACGACATTAATGTTGCTGTTTAAATAACATCAAATCAATAATGTTGATAAATTACAGCTGAATAGCATCAAAATAAAATAAACTGAATGTCAGAAGAATTATGAAAGATAATAGTACAAATTCATGAATTTATAGTCTCTACTGAGGGCCAGTCAGGGCAGTAGTAGGGGCTAGCTGGACTTGTTTCTTTGTGATAATGGTTCCGATAGGAGTACAATAATTACTGAATTCAATGAAGCACATTCGGCGGCTATGAAATTCACATGCGAAGAGGAATCCCAAGACAGAATTGCCTTCCTGGATGTCCTACTTACTTACAAGAAAACCAGATGGTAGTATAACAAGAAATTTGCATAGAAAAAGCATTGGGACAGGACAATATACACATTTTCACAGCTTCGTTCCTATCAAGTAGAAAAGAAATTTAGTGAAGACCCTCAGCCACAGAGTTACTCAGAGCTATATGCTCAGAAGAAGTAATTGAAGATGAATTAAGCATTGTATATGATACTTTAATCGAAAATGGTTATCCTGACAAATTTATCAAGAAACATATGACAAAGAAAGCCAAAAAGGACTACCCACTATCTGTAAACAAGAAGCCACTTTATATACGACTACAATTCATGGACGATATACCAAGCGAGTTAATTACGAAGAAATCAAGAAAATCAGTTGAAAGAACTTTTAATGCCGGCGGCGAACTACACGTCTTATTCTCTACACGACCGATGGTGATTCCTCGACTGAAAGGTGAAGTACCTAGACTAGACTAGCCACTTCAAATTGTATCTATCAATTCAACTACGCTGCTTGTGGAGCGAGTTATGTTGGCCGTTGCTCTAGGAACTTGATTTTTCGTGCTCGCTCGAGAACATCTCCCACTATGGCTAAGTAAAGGTGTAGTTAAAACTATTAACAGCCTGATATTAATCCATCTCGTGCAAACCGGTCACAAAGCCAGCGTTGAAGAATCCTTCTCTATAATATACTGGGTGCCTAACAAATTACCAAAATCATCGAAGCACCGCATGCTCAAAACAGCAGAGGCTATTGCAATTCGCCTCAAACAACCAGTGAGTGCTCTGTGTCCAAAAGAAACAAGTCCAGCTAGCCTCTTCTACTGCCCTGGCCCTCAGTAGAGACTATAAACTCATGAATGTGTAATATTATCTTTCCTAATTCTTCTAACATTCAGTTTATTGTTATGTTGATGCTGTTCAGCTGTAATCTATCAATTTTATTGATTTGATGTTATTTAAACAGCAACATTAATGTCGTCCATGAGACTAATTCATTCATTATAATGTATATATAATTGTAGAACCTGATGATGAAGGGATTATCGAAAAGAGTATTTATTCTTTGTTCCGTGTCCATTTTTTTGTAAAATACATTTTTTTATGAGTTGATCACGGATTGATATCAGTTAGAGAACCATTGAAAACCAGCACTGGAGTACTGGACAGCTGTTGTTTCATCAGCCTAGTTTGGGAATCATCGGCAGTACGCACCCACCACAGGCGGTTCGAACCCAGGACATTCCAGTTACAAGGCGAGCTCGTATACCATTCACCCACTCACTGGGACCCGATTCAACGGCTCATGAATTCTAACTTCTACCAATTCGTGATGCATTTAGCGCGACCCCAACCACCATTGTCGTTGGTGGGACATCCATCGACACACGTGACATCTAATTGGACCTCACAATGGTCACGACTTCTCACTAGAACTGACTGACTCCAGGAAACTCCATCCTGTAGCAGCAGCAAGTCACTAGCGAGCATCAGATTAATTTTTTCTATAGTTTGGTTTGTAAGGGTTAGTTATGTTTTTACGAATTGATCACGGATTGATACGAGCTCGCCTTGTAACCGGAAGGTCCTGGGTTCGAATCGCCTGTGGTGGGTGCGTACTGCCGATGATTCCCAAACTAGGCTGATGAAACAGCAGCTGTCCAGTACTCCCTGTGGCTGGTTTTCAATGGTTCTCTAACTGATATCAATCCGTGCGTGATCAACTTGTAAAACAAAACTTAACTAACCCTTACAAACCAAACTATAGAAAACAAATGTACAAATTAAATTTTCAATGAAAAAAACAAAAAACAAAAAGAAAAACATCATTAGAAAAAGAAAAGTATATTTATTTGATTTTTTACAGACTATTTACAAGAGGGCACACAATCGGTGTGATAAATTACTACATTTTCAATGTGATCTATAATTAGCATAGGCACGATTTTCTTCGCATTGTTTATGCAATTCAATTTTACGCTTGACAGCTGTCCCCTGATTTTGTGATGCGGCTATCAACTCATTACCCAAAGAGATCCATATACGCTGTGCACGTGGTTTGTCTCTGGCTGCATCCAGGATCAATTTCACTGCCGCATGAGTAGCAACCGAATCAGACACGGGAGGAGCTGGCACCTGTTAAAAGATCAAAATAAAATTCAGAATATGCATTAAGGTATTGGAAAGTGAGACCCTACGTAGGATTCTAAATAAAGCAGGAATTAGGATGGTGGCATTCAAACCTACAAACTCACTAAGAGACAAGCTCTGTAGGCTAAAAGACCCGGTGGACCCAGTTAAACAAAATAATATAATTTACAAAATACCCTGCAATGACTGTGAGTTAGGTCAACTACATAGGTCAGTCAGATTGTCGGAACATAAGAATTTAGTGGCTAAGGCAAGAATAGTTGACCCGACCAGAGAAGATAAGTAATTTAGAAAAAAAACTCAACAATTGCACTACATGTAATAACACACAAACACACAATAGCATGGTGGGAGAGGGTTAAAATTCTAAGAAGTAATCCATGTAGGTGGAGAGAGAGATTGATTACTGAATCCTGGTTCATAGAGTCTACACCCAGCACATGCAGCAGAAATGACTCAATGCAAATACCAGAAATATGGAAGATATTATTACCACCAGTCAGTCAGTTAGTCAGTGAAATCAGAGGAGGATAATAAATAATCTTAAATTGTATTCTATTTCAATTCAATTCACGTACATCACAACATTCTAACAAGTTACTCACTTATTATGACTATAATAGAAACACTCGTCTTACTTCCCATCTGATTGTACTTGATCAGTAACACTCATTATTATTATTATTATTTCTGAATGTACATTATCCCATATTACTGATTTGTATTCAAATGTCTAATCATCATGAATTCCACTCATGTATATAAATGAAGGAAGACGAAAGTTGTGTGAGTGAGTGAGTGACTTGATATGATTATGAGCAATAATTTGTGCTCGAAACGTCATCAGTTATTATTACTGTGTAACACTGTGTGATCTATCAAAATAAAATCTTATCCATAATGGAGTTACACTCTACCACAGTGCCCAATTTTTATACTTATTTCAAGATCAATCCATGTAGACAGAGCTTTTTTCTGTGGTCTCTTTCTCTCCGGCTACACGACCACAATTTAAAACATCTTGACTTATAGTATAATGAGAATAACTATCGCCAATGATTAATTTCCTGATTGCAGTAGACTGGATAATGCGACAAACAGCGGGCCAGGCAATGAGGAAACAGGCATAAAATGAACTCACACAAAAAGAGACTTGGAGGATCTGGACTTCGCCGATGTGATATATATGTCTGATTTCCCACAAACTGGAAGATATGCAAGTGAAAAGCAACAAGTTGGCAGAAGAAGCATCCAGAGAAGGTAGGACTTCAGGTGAACATAGAGGAAACAGAGGTGATGAAGATTCCTGGACAAGAACAACAACAACAGATAACGATCAGCATAAATGGGAGGAACCTTAAAGAAACAACAAGAATCGGAAAAGCAAGACAAGCTTTCACTACTCTCAAGTCTGTGTGCAGGAGATGAACAGCACTCAGCATGAAAATGAAAATAAGATACGGATTTTCAACTCCAATGTGAAGTCAGTGCTACTATACGGATTAGAGACTTGGCGTGTCATAAAGAGCACCTCAAACAAACTACAGACCTTCATCAACAGCCAGTTGTCTTCGCTCAATACCACTTAAGATCAGATGGCCGGCCGGCCGGCCAGAAAAGATAAGCAACAGAGATCTCTGGGAGCGAACCAACCCAGTAGGAACCGATTGTGAAACAAATAGGCAGGAAGAAATGGAGATGGATTGGCCACACTCTGAGGAAACCAGCAAGTGACATCACTAGACAAGCCATTGCTCAAGTGGAACCCAAAAGGGACGCGGCGAGTTGGTCATCAGTGCAAGGGTGACTTGGAGGAGGTCATGTGAAGAGGAGATGAAAACGTGTGGGCAGACTTGGTTGGAGCCAGGTGAAGACTCTAGCAGAGAATCGAACGCAATGGAGACGCACGGCTGAAGCCCTATGTTCCTCTAGGAATTAAAGGAAACAATAATAATAATAATAACACGGAAACTCAACAAAATTCGTGAAAAACTACATGATTTCAACAAACACCAACGCTGTTACTCTACATATTCGAAGAAAAAACTAGTGTTTATATGAAGAATTAATGGAGGAAAAATAATACTACAACAGTTGAAACGAACTTCTAAGACTTTCAGTGAATTACACTGGTTCAGTGTCCGATTTACTAACATTTAGTTGGTGAAATAGTCCTGTTAGGCGAGGATGCTGACAAAATGCAGAGTCTTCTGAACACCTTGAGCAGCAATCTTCATATGTTTGGCATGCGATTTGCCCCTGTAAAATGTAAGATGCTGCTACAGGACTGGACTACGTCAACTCCTAGCTTAGTGATAGGGAGTGAAGTGATAGAACACCATGTTGACCACTTCACCTATTTGGGAAGATGTATCAGCACCAACGGACTCATTGGCGACGAAATCTCAGCACGGATACAAAAAGCTCGAGCTGTTTCGCTAACTTACACCATCTCTGGTGTAGGCGTGACATCCGACAATCAACCAAGGGACGTATGTACTGCTCACCAGTTCGCTCCGTCTTTCTCTATGGCTCTGAAACATGGCCAATACGAGTTGAAGACATGAAAAGGTTGACTGTTTTTGATCATAGATGTCTATGATCTCTTTCTCACGTTAGGTGGCATAATAAGGTAAGTAATGTTGACGTCAGGCGTAGAATGTTGGGCAAAGAGGGAAAATCAATCGAAGAGGCTATAAAGTCACTTACATAGATTGAGATGGCTAGGTCACATGCTGCGCATGCCTAACCATCGCCTCCCCCTCCCGACGGGCATTACTAGCTGATATATAGGTGCAGGTTTGAAAAGAGTAATTGGTGGCCAAACGAAAACATGGCATCAATCAATCCATGAAATCCTTGACAGTTAAACTGAGTCAGGTGGGGAGGGAGATACAGACTTCCGGGTTGGGGCCGGCCCTCGGGACTCTAAGAATCAATGGCTGGAGACAATAGGTGACAAGGCTCAAAATCGTTGTCAATGGCTTACGCAGATGTATTCAATCTCTTGTGTAATCTTTCATATTCCTTTCTACCATTACTCATTCTGTTTCACTCTTATACTCATCGAAACTCTATTGATTCTCTCCACTCATCTTCTTGTCTGCCTTTGTGTGCTATTCGGAACGTGGCAACTCGAACTGTTGCACTTCGGTGCCAAGTTCTATGTTGAATCCAGACAGACAGACAATTTATTATCAAGCTGTACAGTCGTATATATATATATATGGTTTTTCCGAAATTATATCCGATGTGGGAATTAGATCAAAGGTGTGCAATTAAATACATACATAACTTGGCAAGTTTTCTTCGTTATAATCCTCTAAAGACAGCTGAGGCTTCGGTCATTTATGAATTTAAGCCAACCAGACCTTTGTGTACAAAAAAGAAGTATGTTGAATCCCTACTTCTGCCTTGGCCGTAGAGGGATAGACATTTATTTATTTATAATAATAATAATAATAATCTACTTTATTCCAAAAAACAGCACTACTTATAATACAGAATGGAGTTCTCAGCATTTATCACAACACCTTGCATCTGATTTATTCAAAATATAAATAAAAATAAAAACAAAATTAACCAGGGGAATTTGTCCACTTTTACGATATAAAGTACCTGAGGAGATACAAGGTTGGAGCTGCGAGTAGAGTGGGTGCTCAGGGTCTGACAAACTTCCTTTAGCGAATTTGTTGCATGACATCAAGTGCCTATTGCGAATGATAATGTCAACGATGTGGCCTAATGGGATACCACTCGCCCTACTGACTGACTGACTGACAGTCTTCAGAGTTCTACGAAGTATGACATAGTCTTGTTTAAGTAATCCAGGAGAGAATAAGCAGTGGTGAACAGTAAAGAAGAATAGGTGAGATGCCCACGAGTTGTCAAACTGTAAGAGGAGGTGTTGGTTGAGTTATGCCTGAGTGCCTTCCTGAAGTTCTTAATGTAAAACGTCAGACGAAATATTATTTTTAGAAACCGCTAAGACATGGGAAGACCAGGATAGGTGGTCAGAAGAAAGAATTAATCTAACATACTTAACTTCAGACTTGGTTTCTATATCACTATCATCAATTTTCCAATGGTCATAGGAAGCAACAGCTTCATTTAACTTTAGTTTACATCAGAAGCTGAAACTAACAGTCTGACATTTGGAAGGATTTAGTTTAGAAAACAGAAAGAATAGAAAGACAGTTGCAGCGAGGAAGAAAATTTTTTTCGACGAAGTCATCAACTAAACAGCTGTACATCCATGTATTTATAATAAATGGGCAGGAAAGTTCCAGAATAATTTCTAGTCAAGGGTTAGATTAATAGAATTACAGTCATTACAGAAATTAAAATGCTACAATAAACAGGGCGGTGGGACAGATAAAGTTCAGACAAAGTAGCATCATAATTACTGAGAAGATTGGCATTGATTGTGCAATTAGGGGTTAGAAATGTAGAAATAACAACAATAGATAGACAGGATATTTGGATAAGAAAAATCTAGTGGGATAATAACTGATGTGACGAATAATTGTTTATGCAGTTGGGGATTAAATATGTAGAAATCATAAAATAACAAAATAGACGGGAAGTTCGGATATGAAAATATGGTAGTGTAAATAGGAGAGATTAATCTATGTACCTTTCCCTCATTACTACGATTATTATTATCATTATTCTCACTCTGAATTATTTCCGCTTGTCTTACTTGTTATTCTAAATCCAAAATTGTTTTACAATATTCAATTATATCTTATGAATTTTCACACCCCTTGCTGTGCAACATTTCATATTAGCCTGCTAATCCTATAATTATGCATCCCTCTCCAACATATACACACCCAGCGCTCGCTTTCCAAACGTATCAACGAACACTTACCAACATGATTTTACAAAGGAGAAAATCGATGCCCCCGCAGTTCCATCTTAGAACATCTGATAGAATCCGGACACCAAGCTACACCGCAAACAAACTTCAAAGTCGTCTACAGAGTAAGAAGTAGTCTCCCTAAATGTGTACGAATCAGGCTTCTTCAAACTGCAGAAGCAATGGTGATTCACTTGCTAAGTCCTGAGCTCTGCATACAGAAGAAGTTCGTTCAATCACTACACTTACAATGGACGTAATCTATCTTATTACCCGAAAGGTGAATTCTATCTAATCTTTTTTCTCTTCTGTCTCTTCATTAGTATTATTTTGTCTTCTCAATTGTAATATTTTACATTTTCAACCTTCTTGTTCTGTACTCCTACCCGATTTAATTTCTACACCTCATTACCACTGTTACTGACTTGAACATCGCTCAGTTTCTAGTCATTTATGTTACGTCATCCAACTTATTTACTCAATTTCACTTCTACTTAATCTGTACCTGTAATTACCTCTGTTGCTATCCTGACCTAAGTTGTAACATTTTAGTCAATTATATTACGTAATCTAGCTTACTAACTCAATCTTACTTTAGTTGCTGTCTGATTAACTTTGTCTCTATACTACATCATTCTTGTATTAACTAATCAATTATCTAAACTTGACAAACCTCATGTACACACACACACACAAATATTTATATATAAATGCGATTGTACAGCTATGTGAATGAATTCGCCGAAAAGAGTCTCTTCGCTGAATGTCTTCTCTTTTTCACATGACTCAATGGGGATTTTCAATCGACTACCTATATGACACTAACTATTTTGCTACTTGACATTTAACTTTGATTATAAACAAAAATACTTAATTCCCTTTCATACTATTATCATTATTATTACTTGATGTATTCACACCTTTGATATATAATTTCTGAAAAACCATATATATATATATATATATATATACGACTGTACAGCTTGAAAATAAATTCGTTGAAAAGCGTCTCTTTACTGCATATTGTATCCTTATTGATACCCCGACCGAAAGCTGCTACCTTGACGTGGTGGTCGGGCTTGAACACCGCAATCACCTAACAAGCTATACTGGCTGAGACTTATGTCGCCTGAGGTCCTACCATGCCAGAAAGGTTGTTTGGATAGCGGTTAGACAAAAAGTAGTTACCCAATCCAATGCTATGACTCAAAATAAATCACAAAATATCATGCCGGATCGGTCAGGACCCGGATTAACAACGACCGCGCTTCCTGCTGCCGTGTCACAGGGCAGAAGTGATAAGTGTGCTACTGAGACACACCAAACGAGAAACAACAAACAAAAACAGGCCGTGTGTGACCGGCCTCAAGCAGTTGTCCCCTGGGGTCTGCGGTCACGCAACCAACTTCCACGGTGTGGGCAACCGGGAAGTAACAATCGCCCTCACAATCCGAACTGCACACGAAACCTCTCTAATCCTCACTCATTTTTGTCTTCATCTTCATCTCTATTATCTTGTCTTCCTTCTACTAATGCAACTCCTCTACTTGAGGGCTCGACACTTCCTCTTTACTCGGTGTGCACTGAAAATGACGGAAGCCAAAAAACCACCATCGATAGTCTCCTAAAGCCACGCCACCAATTGATACAATGGGAATTATTAAGTTATTGAAAGAGTTATTTAGTGTCAAAATCTCGTTCGGATGTTTGGACGGAAATAACACATCTACTAATTTTGAAGGAATTAGCTCTATTCACATCATCTCTACAACCTTGAATGTTCCATTACTACATACATAATGTTACATTGGACCTAGCAAATTTATTCTCTTTTGATTTGCTTTTTGTTGACCACGAAGTGTAGTGACTTGCATACTGAATCGTTAGGGCCTAAGACCTTCTGATGCTCGTGTGTTAGATTCCCCTACTTATAACATTGACGCCGCAGTATATGGACAATCTATGATAAGTTTACACTCAAGCCAGGCACTTCTGGTTAGTAAATAAACATTTTCACTTTACGAAACCACTGGAGGATTAATAGGCATGGAATGGCAATCAAACCTATACCTCAACTTCCTTCATAGACTTTGAGAAGGCCTTCGACAGCGCAGCGTTGACCACGAAGTAATTTGCAAACTACTCGAGTACTACGGCGTACCCCAAATATCCCTCAACCTTACTCAACAGCTATACGACAACGGCACATGTCAAGTGATCCACAATGGAAAATTCAGCGAGGCGTTTGGAGTAAACACAGGAGTCAGACAAGAGTGATTATTATCACCAATGATATTCCTAATTGTGGTGGACTGGATTATGCGTCGTCAGACAGTGGGAAACGAGAAGACAGGGATATCCTGGACCGACATGAAGAATCTAGAAGACCTGGATTTCGCGCGCGGATGATTTATGTTTGATGTCACACAAAATCGAAGACTTACAAGCGAAAAGCGACAAACTGGTCGAAGAAGCAGCAAAAACAGGACTCCATCCAGGTGAACATAGACAAGATGGAGGTTATGAAAATAACCAACCAACGACAACAACAACAGCAGCAACATCCAGCGCCAATCACCATCAACGGGAGGGATTTGAAAGAGGTGATTTCATTCACTCATCCAGCGAGCATTGTGTCAACTACACGAGGAACGGACGACGATGTCAAATCGAGCGAGAATCGGGAAGGCGAGAAACACATTCATCAACCTGAAACCAATCTGGGAATCTTCGCCACTCAGCATCAACAACAAAATTCGGATTTTCAATACAAACGTCAAGTCAGTCAGTTCTTCCATACGGATCAGAAACTTGGCGGCGGGTCACAAAGAATATTTCCAATAGCCTGTTGCAGACCTTTATCAACAACAACAACTGTCTTCGCTGGCTCTCTACTGAAGATCAGATGGCCACCGGAAAGAACAAGAACCAACAAGAAACTATGGGAACAAACAAACAAAACAAGAACCAATCACTCAACAAATATGCAGGAGAAAGTGGAGATGGATCTGACACTGGCTGAGGGAAGCGGCGAATGGGACGTCCAAGAGTAACATGGAGGAGATCGTGTGAAGAAGAGTTGAAACAGTATGGATTAACATGAATGCAGGTGAAAAGTACAGCAGAAGACAGAAGCAAGTGGAGGCGTGCAGTTGAAGCCCTATGTTCCACTAGGAACCCAAGGGAACAATAACAATAATAATAATTCTATACAAGACTTAACTCTGAGAAACCACAGAAAAAATTAAAGTCTTAGTAGATGAACAAACTGCACAATACGCAAACTCGTCAAAACGTAGAGAAAGTATTAGAGTAGTTCAAATTTAGCAATGATTACCTTGTACAAGATACCACCACGTGGAACTGACTGTAAAAGTAGTAAAGGCGTACAGTTTTTGACTGCTTCACGAACCACAGCAATTGGATTTATAACAGTATTTTCACCATCCGGCTTGTCTCCACTACTACTACTACTACTTTTGTTTTTCCTTATCTACAAGAATTTGATAATAATAAAAAATATGACAAAAAAACCGTCAAAGTACCTGTATCAATTTAATCTCCCTAAATGTCATTCGCATGACATCTCTTGCGACCTCTCTTTCTCCTCTTATCGTCATCATTCCAACAATTCTTGAAACAAGCTCATCATAATTTGACCCTGTATGCTCCCATTTGCCTGCTGGGGCAACAAATTTAACAAGACGAGGATCCTTTGAATCGACTGCATCATCAGGACTAATCATTTTAGGTCGAAGAGCGTAATGATACACACGGGTTCTGAACGATTGTGAAAATTTACAAGCACAGGCTAATTTTGACGACAATATTATCGTCATACTGAGACCCCACATGCTGAGGAGTTTTTGGCCAATGAAGTATTCTGCAAAGAGGTAAAACAAAACAAAAAGAAATCCTCACTAATCTCCATGAACGGAAAAAGCCTCGGTGGTGTATACAAATTTACGCACCGGACAATGAGCTACTTAATTAAGTGTGTGAAAGATACCCCTAGCAGACAAGGCTTCAGTTTGAAGCAGTGAACACAAATACCCAGAAATACATACGTGTCAAATAAATTATCTCATAATGCTAAAATGCAAATTCCTTACGATTTACACTTAATTCACCACATGCTAAATGTGTATGAGACTGGCGTGTGTACTGCTCAACAGTCCGCTCCGTCCTTCTTTATGACTGTGAGACCTGGCCATTGAGAGCGGAACACATGAAAAGATTAGCTGTCTTCGGTCATAGGCGTCTGCGTTCTATCTCCCGCGTGAAGTCGTATAATAAGATGAGCAATATTGAGGTTAGGCGTCGAGTGCTATATACGGCGGGGAAATCAGTCGACGACACTGTGAAATTACATCGACTGAGATGCTTAGGACATGTGTTACGTATGCCTAATCATCGCCTTTCTCGACAATGGGCAATGTTTGCTGACATAGGACCAGACTGGAAAAGAGCTAGCGGCGGTCAAACGAAAACATGGCACCAGTCAATGAAATCCACAACAGTTAGTCTAAGCCACGTAGGAAGATGTAGACTTCCTGGTTGGGGTCCTCGGGACGGTAAAAACCAATGGTTGGAAACAATTGGTGACATGGCTCAAAATCGTTCCCAATGGCTGGCTGGCGCAGATGCATACACTCCTTGTGACTTATGATTTCCAATGAAACTGTTTTGTTCTTCGTTATTACTATACCTTTGTCTCACACCTCTGTTTACTGTCTGTGTTATGCATTTCTTCTCTCGCTTTCTGTGCTACATGGAGGGAGTGTGGCGACTTGAACTGCCGCATATATGTGCAAAGTTCTATGTCGAAAACCGACCAACCGACCGTATGAGACTCAATTAGACACCAAATATTATCTAGGTACATATTTTTCTTACCTTGAATTCGTCTACTTATAGGTGATCGGAATTTTTAAGCGCCAAACATAAATATATCTCAGCTAAGTTACAGGGTTGAGATCTCAAAGGATGTACTTACACACATGTATCGCCAGTACAATTCAACAGTTACATCACGAGCAAAGTGATTTCATGAAAAATTACACTACCGACTGATATCTGTTTAAGGAACCAATAATAATAGCCAGAAAAGAGACGATTGTTTTTCGTCATTAATCACTTGTTTGTCATGGTCCATAGAATGGATGCACCCGATAAACGTGGCAAAATGTGCAACCATGCGCATTGGACAAGCAAGCACGAGCTCCTATGAACTAGAGGGAATTACAGTCCCATCAGTTCAGACTCACTTGGACTTAGGTGTCATAGTTAGCCACGACTTAAAAACTACAGCACACTGTCGCGCGGTAGTTGCACGTAGTTTCAGGTCCTTATGGGCAATTCGTAGAGCCTTCACTAGAGTCACCAGAAATATGTTCACCTCCTTATATGGACCTCTCTCTGGTGAGGTCAAGACTGGAAAACTGCATCCAGGCCGCCAGCCCTTGTCTAAAAGGGGACTCACACACTCTAGAAAGGGTTCAAAGGAAAGCAACACGTATGGTTCTCGGAATGACTAATTTATCATACGAGGAAAGACTAGACAGTTTAAATCTCTTCCCCTTGTCATACCGTAGGCAGAGAGGAGATTTAATCACAATGTTTAAAATTTTAAATAATGACTACGGACCTGACCTATTTTCTCTTTTCCTTGCCACCAGGTCGGAACACCTTAGAGGACATAGCAGGAGAGTTCAAAAGCCAAGAAGAAATCATATTGCTGTTGAGTACTGGTTCTCACACCGAGTCATAAACTCTAGGGAACCGACTGACTCCCAGAAGAAGTGGTCTCTGCAACCTAAACTGATTCGTTCAAGAAGGGTTTGGACAACCACAGAAATTTATTAGAAAAGTATTAACATAGGCTCCAAGCCTTCTATCCTCAATCAATAAATCTGAATCTGTTTGTTCGTGAAGTTTCAATTTACCTACATTGAAATGTCGTATGACTTATCTTATGAAGAGGTGATACGAAGTCATTTTGGCGGCCCCCTGATTGTACACTACAAAACAACTTCTACAGTTGGTTTACAGAAACACCACTGCTGTATTAAGTTAGACAGATTGGTGTAAGCACTGTCGGCAAAACTAGGAGAATCGCAACATGGTGGAAGTCCCTTAAAAGAGCACCAACACTGCCTCGCACACTCTGTGTGTGTGTGGTGTGTAAAGATTTTCCTGTGCCCACTTCTGTATGTCCCTGAATGCTACAATAGCCTTGACAGGTTTCAGCACGACGTTCTTACTTAATGGCTACACTGAAGGCAGCTGAAGTATACTGTCCATATATGGACAGAAGTTAACTTTATATGAAAATATTTGGCTCATCCCAAGACTTTATTGCTGCTGGGAATGGTAGTTAGGGTTTCAACATACATTATCCCACACCTGTCGAAAACAAACCGAAGACAGAGGAAATAAAGTCACCTTGACAACTAATGAGGAAGTAATCGAGTTACTGAGTCCTCAGAGATTTCTGTGAACCGCTTTGTATCATGCTTAACTATCGTAATGTAATGGTGAGTGTTTACATAGAATGTGTTGAGAGTCACAGTGACGTAGAGTAATTTTCTCTCACCATAGAAATAATTTATACTGAAATTATGAATATCGAACAAACTGACCACAAGCAAACAGAAGACAGCGGCTCGTCTCAAGGTCGAAGGGGTAAATGACTTCAAGTCAGAATAACAAAGTAGCTGGTTTTCTTCACGCATGTGTCTCATAACCGTACTTTGTTCTGTCCTGACTACGTAAGTGACCTATGCATATCTCTTAATATTTTCACGCCTCTGAGGAAAGTAAGCCGCTGGCCCATATGTGTCTTTTGAAATACTGAGCATTGGACGACCGATATCATTTTGTATGAATCGATGATTATACTGAGAGTGTTTGCTCCGATTCTTTGGTTGATAGTATATATCTCCGTCACCATTGTATAATTTGGTCAGGAATAATTAAAAACTAATAACATGGTTGAGTAATAGTCAAATGAACTGCTAGATCTTCTGTGGATCTCTATCTTACTGAAAATCCACTTAAGAAGGTTGACATGTTGAACTGCAACTCTCGCAAAACATACAGCATCCACTATTCTGTTAATAAACTTACACGGGAAAAACATCTAAACCTTAAGTTATGGCATCTAAAATTAATGACTAGTATGATGGATTACGCAGCTCGAGGCAAGATTGATATACTGCTACGTCAAATATATGCAGCAGACGCAAAAGAAAACACGATGTATTTAGCTGATGACCCATCTGTGTTACACCTACTAGGTATTTTTCCTCGAAGTACTCTTCAAGTGTGATGGCTTACTTCACATATAGCTGTGAAAACTGTCAAGGGGATTATATCTTCACATAACGTCTTGAAAAACAAACTGACAAACATACGCCTGGCATAAAATCCTATGGCTTTGTATCGTCAACCTTGTTGTATTTCGCAAAATAGACTGCCTGGTGGTACTTCTCCGCGGGAGAACTCTTCAAAACGTCTGTCCAACGCCTTTTATGTACTCAAATGAAGCTCGAAAGTCTCTCGGTTGTGAATAAAACCATTGGCTCGTCAACACCACACTATAATGTTAGTAGTGCACCTCAATTAACTTCTCGCTAGAGATGTTCTCATAAAGTGAAACACGGTGGTACTGCAGATGGTCCAAATAGGAAAACCACTGACAAAACTTCGTGAATCCTATCATCTGACATTCTTCAGTTGATAATGAAATAATCAGTATCAACTTTGATATATATTTAATAGATGTCTAATATGCATGTCTTTTCGAACTGCTTTCGCTGTAGAAGAAGTCTCTCCGGTGGCTCTAAGGCCTGCTGAATGGCAGGACACAAGAGTGACATCATTAGAAGTATTGATTCACATTATATTGACACCTATGTGTAGACCTTTTAGTGCATTTATAGCAACCAACTGTAAAACAGATTATCAGATGGCTGTAACATTAACCCCACTATATTGGTTTATTGCTGGTTCACATGTAAATATTTGACGTTCCTGTCTGTCTCTTAATGTTCCTTGCACTGAATTGAGTTTATGATTAAATGCACGAATAATATTCTGTGACCTGGGGAATTGTTTTCTGGCAACAGCAATAAGTCCTTACAGATATAGTGATGCCACATTTAAGTTTGTCTTCAGATCATCGTGTTAGAAAAACACTGCTTATACACACGTACAACAATCTTCCTAAGACTATCACATAAACTCCAGCGCTATATAAATTCAACCTCCTCTCAGATGTTCTTATCCGCCCGGATTCAGTGGCCGTGTAATGAGAAGCGATGAGGTCACTCGGTAACTCAAGACAGCAGGTTTTCTAGCCACCACGATAACCGTTCGACTTTTATAAAGATAACCAAATAGCATGTTGTGTCTACCAAGCAAACGGCCTGTGATCCATGCAGTGGTTATCCTCTCCTATGTCATGGGCTTATCGTGAAGCGTGGGACAATCTGTGCACAAAATTTGTCATGATCTGGTATCGATCCTAAACGGTTGTCAGGACTGTATTACTTCTACCCCAGAAACAGCGCGTCAAATACCAGATTACTACGTAGATACTGCGGCTCAAGATACAGATAATGAGCAAAAATTTCCGGGGGTCAGTCGTCAGAAGCACAAGAAATCATCCATGTGGCAAGGATTATTTCGGATCAGTTGCTCGTCACCTTAACAAACAACTTACCACCGGGATACACTCCACTCCACAATAAAGTAGATGACACCTAATCAACACCTATCACAGGAAGTTATATTCTTGAAATCAGCGCAAGCTCATATATTACTACTGATCCCACAAGTCCCAAGACCAACCTCGCGTAGTTTACCAGCTCTCTGGTTTCCCAGCCAGTCCCAAGCCCAGGAGAAGAGGGAGCATCGGGGTGGGGCTAGTGACGCTGCACCACAAAATCAATCATGCTGCTAGAGAAACTTCAACACCCCGGAATAATCATAAAAATATAAATGAGATATGAAAATAAACTAATTCCTCACAGAAATTGGAGAGGCGAAATGACACAGCAGGCTGACTGGTGAAAGCCAGTCTCCGGGAAGCCAGTCAGCCAGCCGATATAATACTAGAGCATGTAGATACGCTTGACTTTGACTACAAAGTTGTCTGTGGCGATTTCAACTTACCTGGAGTAAACTGGGATACCTGTACAGGACCTAGAATCCATGACGAGCTACTACAAGATATAGACGTAGGCGGATGGAAGCAGTGGGTACGCCTCCCTACAAGAAACTAAAATCCCCTAGACTTAATCCTGTCATGAAATAGAGCCCATCCCGATAGAGGTAGGAAATAAACTTGATAACAGCGATCACAACATATTGTACTGCACGCTACCCCTCCGACTAACAACTACATACACACCTAAAACTTCCCCAGTGCAGTATCAATATAGGGACTATAAGAATGCCGATTGGGAATTCCTATCAGATCTGTTGAGAAGTTCTGACTGGGAAGAATACTTCATCAACAATAACTTAGAAGTATCACTTGAGATTTTCTACAAAACAATTGGCTCAGCAAGAGACATAATCGGCCCCTAAAATCTGCTCTAAAGACACCAACTCCATTTATAGACCGCAAAACGCGACTAAAACTGAAGAAATTGAAAAGGAAATACCATGTATTTAAGGAATTTAATGCGTTAAACCAAATACATGAAACTCTTAAACGGCTTGAAGATAAACGCAAAATGATGTCACAACTTGAAGAAAATAAAGCGCTTGTGGGTAACTCCAAAACTCAGGAACTTTGTAGGATATTGCAGAAACGTCTAAAAAGCAGTAAAGACAATACTGTAAGCGGCTTGGAAAATAAGGGTATGATATACAATGATCCTCAGGTTATAAGTGAACTCCTCAGTGAGTGGTTTTGCAATGACGCCAGAGTGCGCCTGACCCGAAATTTTCAAATGACCTGCAAAGTAACCACAAATTAGGCGAAATAGACTTTAATATACAAAATATAGACTCAGCGATTAAGACTTTGAAGCCTAATGCTAGTACTGGAACAGATGACATACCATCTGTCATATACAAAAGTGGTAGCACGGAAATGCTAGTCTTGTTACTTAGAATATTTAGTCTCTCGTTGGAAACTGGAACTTATTCTGAAGTGTGGAAAACCACATACATATTACCTAAGCACAAAGCAGGGGCCAAAACCAGTGTATGCAACTATGGGCCTATCAATATAACACCGGTAATATCCCGAATAATGGAGAAAGTGGTTAAAGACCAAGTGTCAGACAACTTACTAAAACATGAACTTATCAATCCATCACAACACGGATTTCTCAAAAAGAGATCATGTGTGACCTGTCACATAGACTTTTTCAACGAAGTTACACGAAGTAGGGACAACAGAGAACTAGTAATTGTGCTATATTTTGATATAACAAAAGCCTTCGACAGAGTTCTGCTAGTCAGCAGGTTATGCTCACTAGGGATATGTGACCCTCTCCTGAGCTGGATAAAGTCATTTCTCCGTGGCCGAAGTCAGACAACGAAAGTTGGCTCGATAATCTCAAGGCCTAAACCAGTAAGTAGTGGTGTAATCCAGGGAAGTGTATTAGGCCCACTCTTATTCATAATATATATAAACAGTATCTGTGAATGCTTTAGTGTAGGTAAACCAATACTATATGCAGATGACTTAAAAGTGACGTATAAATGCAGGAACACAGATCTTGGAATAACAGTAAACGCCATACAGCAAGAATTAGAAAAAATGGATAGATGGTGTGACACCTGGCAACTCCAATTTAATGTCGAAAAATGTGGCTGGCTCTGCATAGGTTGCAACAATTTAGAACTTGACCTGACAATTCAAGGCCATGCACTTCAACGACTGGAATCTGTACTGGACCTAGGGCTGAAATATTCACATAACTTATCATTTTGTGAACATATCTCCAAACAAGTGTCAAAGTCACGCAGACTTATCGGCTTTCTACTCAGGAACTTCTACAGAAATGAGTCTAGAATTCTGTTGTACAAGGTTTGTGTGCGTCCTTTATTTGATAATAGTTCATTCATGTATAGTAGCATACGCATAGAGGATAAATTGAAAGTCGAGGGAGTGCGGAGGTACTTCACGTTAAAATTACTCGGAACTGAAAATGGTGCGAACTACTCCACTAGATGTGATACCCTAGGACTAGAAACACTATGGCTAAGACGCCTGAGACTAAACTTGACACTTTACTATAAGCTTCTAAACCGCTTAGTTTTTACCTCTACTAATGGCACTCGACTTTCACATGACAATGGCTACAAACTAAGACACACTAAGGGTACAGTAGCTATCGAACAATGTAAAACAGCCACCAGGCAAAAGTTTTACTTGATTAGGTATGCACAGATATGGAATAAACTGCCAATGGAAATGCGACAAGCAGGTACATTGGCCTCCTTCGAAAAGGTGCTTAATGACAAACTACAAGAGTTTGCAAACGATAGTAGTTCTAGTTCCTATCTGAGAGCCTCCGAAATTATAGGTCCATTTAATGTATAAGCTTAAATACTACACCTGTTGTTTTTTGCCTATATTTATAATTCTAGATAAAACATTAACGGTTAAGATACGTATCCTCAAACAGACAAGAAATCTCGTTTGTAAAACTACTACCCAACACAATA